ACAAAAGCACATCTCTTGCGCAAAAGCACATGCCAGTGTAGACACTCTCTTCCAGAAGAGTTTTTGCACAAGAACTCTTCCACAAAAGAGTTCTTGTGCAAGAAGCTGCCAGTGTAGACATAGCCTGATCAGAGTTTAACTTTGGATCAGCATTGCAATCTGAGTTAATAAATGCAAGTATTTCCTCATATACAGCAGAGCAGATGTTGAGACTGCATCCTTGAGTTTGCTAAGCAAATAAAGCTCTGACTGCCTCCAAATGTCCATCTTCTAGAATCAATCAGTGCTCTGAGCCCTTCAGTGTTCTAAGACCTATAAAACCTGAATTCTCAACCCTGTCTTCTCTGTCCTTACGTAGAGGGAATCATATCAAGTTGAAACAACAGTGGAGAAATCTGGGGGCAGTCTTATGGATAAACACAGAAGATAGCACAGTTTAGCTAGAAGTTGCAAAACACAGAGATGAAGTTGGTGATAAAGAGTTTGTTGAGCTAGGAATTTATTGTCCTTACTATTCTTACTTTGCCCTTTTGCATTGCAGCTGTGGAATGTACAATGTCACAAATGAACTTGATAAAAACCAAGTTAAAGAACAGACTGCAGGACAGTCTAATTGAAAATACCTTAAGGATCAGGGCCTATATGCATCGAAATAAGATTTGTTGCAAACAGTTTCAACCACCCAAAGAGATTATATCCTTGTTTAATGATGAGCTTTATGTAGTTGTTAATAGCAATGATACTATAGATGACTCTGGGGAGGATATCTTTTGAAAAGGCTCAGGTGAAAGAAAAGCAGGACAATGTAGCACTTTAAAGACTAACAAGATGGTTTATTAGATGATGAGCTTTCGTGGGCCAGACCCACTTCCTCAGATCAAGCTCATCATCTAATAAACCATCTTGTTAGTCTTTAAAGTGCTACATTGTCCTGCATTTTGCTTCAACTACCCCAGACTAACACGGCTACATTTCTATCACTGTGAAAGAAAAGGATTTCTTTTAAAAAAGTAAGCAAGGATTTTCAAAATGACTCATTGCAACTGAACTATCTGACCTCTGCATTTCAAATTTTGTTCTAGGTACAAAATTGTTTTTTCAGTAATTTAGTAAGAACTATTTTTCATAGAGGAAGGTTACAAGTGCATAATTCCACACACTCTTTTAGAAAAGGATTTTTGAAAAATTAAAGTAAAATTAATGAGGTGTGCTCTAATAGCCAGGGCTCGACAAATTATACAAGTAGCAAGTAGACTGTAACCTGGAAGAGCCGGGTTCGGGTGATCTGTGCATGCGCAGAACGATCAGGGTTCAGCGAGCCCTGCTAATAGCAATTCATTTAGGGTACGTCTAGACTACATGGCTCTATTGACGGAGCCATGTAAAATAGTTTATTCTTCATAGTCAAATTAAAATAAAAATGGCCACCGTAATGTGCCAACGATCAGCTGATCCAGCACAGCCCGGCAGTCTAAATGCGGCGCGGTCGACAAGGGAAGCCTTTGTTGACTGCTCTGGTATGCCTCATGAAACGAGGTTTACTGGAGTGGTCGACAAAGGCTTCCCTTGTAGACCATGCCTTGTCTAAACTGCTACGCTGCGCTGGATCAGCTGATCGTCGGTGTTCTTGCGGAAATACTGTGCTGCTCCCGTTCGGACAAAAGCCCTCTTCCGCAAATCAGTGTAGACAGCACAGTACTGTTTTGTGCAAAAAAGCCCTGATGGCTAAAATGGCAATCGGGGCTTTTTTGCACAAAAGCACGTCTAGACTGGCACGGACGCTTTTCCGCAAAAAGTGCTTTTGCGGAAAAGTGTCCGTGCCAATCTAGATGCTCTTTTCCAAAAATGCTTTTAACGGAAAACTTTTCCATTAAAAGCATTTCTGGAAAATCGTGCCAGTCTAGACGTAGCCTTAGCATACATCTACTTAGCATCCTTAGTTTGAAATAAACTACGCAATTTGAGCTATGCAAATTGCATAGCTTATTTTGAGCTTACTTCAAAAGAATCTATTTTGAAATTGACCGCTATTCTGAAATGTCCCATAAGCCTCGCGGAACAAGGTTTACCGACATGTCGGAATAGCAAGGCCGTTATTTTGAAAGATATTTCCAAATAATGAGCGCTCTGTGAAGACATGGAAAATGCTATTTTGGAATACCAGTAGTATCCCGAAATGGTACCACAGTGTAGGCGTACCCTTAGAGCCCATATACCAGGAAAATGGGCCTACATGCAGCCTTTGCTTAGGTATGTAACTTCTTCAGGGTCACCAAGCTGACTCCATAACCCTGAAAGCCCCAGACCTTCATTTGTATTTGAGTAAAATACACAAGGTAAACTTCTTCCTTGCTATGCACAAAGTAGTAATATTTGGATTTAGTTGCACCACCAGTGCTCCTTAGGAATAATAAATATAAAAACATTAAAGACTAACAAAACATGTAGATGGTATCATGAACTTTGTGGGTACAACCCACTTCAGATGACTGGAGCATTAACATTTCAGATCCAAGAATAAATAAGGGAACGGGGAAATGGAAGGGGGGGGAGTGAATTAGAGTGTTCAAGTTACTAGGAGGTGATAAGAACAATTTGCACCTTCTCTAAGTGCCCATTGTTTAGTTGGTTAAGTCACTAAGATGTGGAATAGTGATAGAGATGTCGCCGTGTTAGTCTGGGGTAGTTGAAGCAAAATGCAGGACAATGTAGCACTTTAAAGACTAACAAGAGGGTTTATTAGATGATGAGCTTTCGCAGGCCAGACCCACTTCCTCAGATGTGGAAGGTAGCCTGCTAGCCAGCCAATATCTTTACTCGTATCTCTATGATGGGAATCGAACCTGCAAATGAAATTAAGTTCCAATCCTGCCCTGTGTATTTGGCTTGTGGAATTGGCCTGAAACAACACGGTGGCTTTGAGATCCATTCATAAGTGCCCAGGCAGGTAAAAGTGGAGGGGTAGGCGCTACAGGGAAGGGTGGACGGAGTGGGGGAACTGGAGGGTGGGGGCTACAGGGAAAAGAGAGATGGGCAAG